ATTCAATTTGTTTATTTTTTTCGCAACATCGGGATGGTATGGTGATGTTGCAGGGAGGGAAAAAGACCACTAGGTGGATTAACTAACCCCACCTGTGAAGAAAAAAAAAAAGTTTTTTGTGTAAGAAAAGAAACATAGAACCATAATAAGTAGATATTTAAAACCAAGTTGATCATGGCACAAATCTGTGAACACTTGAAAGTATATGCTCGACGCCAACATCTTCTGCATACACTAAAAACATGTCCTTAAATTTTTTCTTGTCTTCCTCTGCCAATAATTCATGTTCAATGTCATTCCAAACATTAGTAATGCGATGTGATAAGAAATTGAAGAAAACCAGTGAAGGTTTCTGTTTTTTTATTAATTTAAAAACCATTTCCTCTGAGCTGACTGGGACGGCCAAAGATGTTATGTACCTGGATGGGAGAGTCTGACCAGCACTTATTATGCAAAAACTGATGTGATAATACCAGATCCTTAACTAAACGCCTAAACCAAAGAGGTTGAAGACCTAAAAAGTTTTAACCGTTCATTATATTCCATTCTTGGGGAAAGGCGCTTCGTGAAACGCCTCTGGACCGATTCTAATCGATCAATATCTGACTTTGTCAATGGACACATTAGTTCCGAACCATACTCTAGAATGGGAAGTACCTTGGCCTTATAGCATGTCAAGAAGTTTTTGTTTCGAGAAGCTAAAAACAGCGGAATAGGTTGTTTATAATACGCATAGTTTTTTTGACGATAACTTCAATATTATTATGCATTTTTGAGGTTAGATGAAAAAAATAACTCCGAGATCTTTCACACAATCATCGTTATTCACTGTTGTACCATTAAGCTCGTAACTCGCAACACTTCGAACTCGTTTTACCATAACTAACATGGAGACTTTTTATTTGCTGAAAGTATGAGTTGTCTATCTGCAAGAAAATTTTCAATGGAATGGAGATCCTCTTGTAGCTTGTTTTGATATCCTGGAACAGAACTGCTAATCATTACTTTACAATCATCCGCGTAAATCAACAGTTTACTATATTTAAGTGCTTTATCCAAATCGTTAATGTAAACAAGAAACATTAAAGGACCTAAACAGCTTCCCTGTGGAACCCCAGAAATGACTTCAATATCTCCCGAAAATTTATCATTTACTTTTACTTTTTGAGTCCTGTTAGTCAAATAAGCTCTAATCCAGTTACCAAGTTTTCCTTTACATCCGTAGGCTTCAAGTATGGTTAAAAGTCTACGGTGACTGACTGTGTCAAAAGCCTTTGATATATCCAAGTAAATACAGTCAACATTGTTTTTATTGTAAACTTCTTCAAAAATATATCTTTGTTTCTCCAGTAACTGAGTTATTGCACTCCGATTGTTCAAAAATCCGAACTGAGTTTTAGAAAAAATTTTGCTACGCCAAAGATGATTTCTTAAAGCTCTCACTACAATTGATTCGAAAATTCGGCATGGCACACAGGTTAAAGAGACGGGCCTATAATTTTCAGCGGCGGAAGGGTTTCCTTTTTTGAATACTGGAGAAACAATAGATTTTTTTCCAAAAGAAGAGGTAACGAGGAGCTATCTAATGACTTTCTGAAAATCATTGAGAGCGGGCGCGCTAAAGGAACTGCTAATTTTTTTACATAATTTACTCGAAAGTCCGTCTGGGCCTGAAGAGCTTAGACTTTTTAGATTTTTTTCATACATTTATAAACCACATGTTCATCTACGCAAACGTCCTCCAAAAACTGTACTGGTAACCGAAGGGACGCTGAAATTTTTTTATTGTCATCAATACGGTAGACCGAACTGAAATATGAATTAAAAAAATGTTCGCGATCTCCTCACTTTTTTTGAATGGAGCGACCTTCGAAACATAGAGATTTTTGGCTGCATAGAAACAGTGGTTTTTCCTCTTAACATAAGACCAAAATGCTTTACTGTTTTTTTAGATCCATTTAGTACTCGTTCTTCTTCTGAAACTTTGTAGTTTTTGACGCTAGTTTTATACACTTTAAGGATCTGCCTATATTTTTGCTCTTTTTGTGAAGATAAGGATTTTTTAAAATCAATATAGCATCTTTCGACTTTTCTTCTCGTTCTTATCAGGTATTGCGGGAATTTGAACGGTTCTATAATTTTTTTGGTATGAAATGATTGCAGAGTGGCTCAAGTATAGAAATGAACTTTTCATACATTTCATCTACTGTACGACATGTGCTGAACCGATAATTCCAGTCTATCCAAGCTAATGCACTATTTAAAGACGCGAAATCAGCATTTTTGTAATCTGAAATTACTTTTGGCGGGAAAACCTTTAAGTTTGAAGTTTTTAAGTTGAGCTGGCACGTGATAGAACAGTGATCTGATAAGGGTTGTGATATTTTTACATCTGAGACTATAGATCCGTTATTAGTTAGAACTAGGTCTAAAATGCTAGAACCCCGCGTAGGTTCTTTTACTAATTGCGAAAAGCCAAACTGTGATACACATTGTAAAAAACTTCTCGACATGCCATTATCGGCTCTAAGAAAATCCCACTTTATATCTGGAAGATTGAAATCACCTCCAATAATGTGACATAGATCTCCTACTTTAACTGTGATATTATTTAAATAGGTCTCGAAATGTCCAGCAAAACTCGCATCCCATCCAGGAGGTCTGTATAATCCCGTCAAAACCCATGTTTGCTTTGAAATTGGATGCATTATTTTTACAGATATAACCTCTATCGAACTAATTGACATACTGCCAACAACTTCACTGATATACGTAGAAGGACACAAAATTAATACCCCACCGCCTTGCCTATTGTTTGGACGACAAAGACTAAACGCAGAAAAAAATTTTTCAAAATGAGTAAGTAAAGAAATTTCATCACTATTATTAAGCCACGTTTCCGTATAAACAAAAAAAATGATGACGGCGAGCAGAAGCAATCGATTTCTAACGCTAATTTTTTTAGACTTGATACCTCTCACATTGGCTATAAATAACTGACTGTTTTTGGTTCATTGTTTCTTCTCTTGCACTACATTTTTCGTTGGCGTTAAGTGTGGCCGTTTTTCCCGTCTGAAACATTGAAAACCATATTTCACGTTTTTTCTGCTGGTCTGCCGTAAAATTTTTTTATAGAAAAAAATTGAAACTTCTAAAAAGTGGCGTGTTTTTTTGCACCCAAGCGTGACAGAAAGAAAAAAAGTTTGAGAATAACCAAAAAAAAATTTTTTTCAAGTTTTTCCTCGTGAAATCCACAGCTGAAACTCGTTTATAACTAAGATTTCTTAATAAAAAAAGTTGCAATAGAGCTTCGAATGTCTTTGAAATACAAAATTTCACAACGATTTTGCGTCCAAATTTTATTTTTCAAATCCAAAAAAAGATGTGAAATATTTAAAACAATGCTATGGCGACCTGTGCGCGGTCATTATTGCGCTTTTTGTCAGAGAATTTTGCAAACTTGATTCATTTTTGTACTTTTTTTTAGACCTCATCCCTTGACGCTACAAGAGAATTCACCTTTATGAGTCAAGAAATTTCCATTTTAATACCAAAAACGCTTTTAAAAACCGTATTACGACCGGCCGCGTTGAACAGACGAGAGTTTCAAGGCGTTTTCCGACTCTATTGATTTTAATTTTAGCCATTTTCAGATGGAAATAGTTTTCTCACTTTATAAATCGTAACTTTATTTGTTCTAGATGGAATACTTTTTCTAAAACGATATCAATTTCATTGCTTTTCCAGATTCGCCACGACGCTGGTGGTGGCTTCATGCGACGTCTTGGCTCTTCGCCCTGGTCGGCGTCGTTTTTCTCGTCATCTCCCACGGTCACTACACCCTCGACGTCATCTTGTCCTACTTCATCTGCACGAGAATCTTCTGGCTCTACCACACGATGGCCGCTCATCCGACTCTCAGGGTCAGTCCGAAATTTCGTCCACAAGTGAAAGTTATTTTGAGAAATGTAACTGTTTCAAAGCTTTCAACAGTTCTGTGTTTCAAGTTGACACTAAATATGAGTTTTTGAATTTTATTATAATCTTTCGATCCACTTGTGATTGTGGAAACTGATCATTATGCTTCGTAATTGATTAGTCTTTAACTTCCCTCAAATTTAAAAGCGCATAGCCAGTGCGCGAAAACTTTTCCTGTTCCTCAAGAAAAAACTTGTATAAATTGAATGGCTTTTCAGTCATCTGTCCACAACCACCACCGGAAGGAGTTTTGGTTCCCGATATTCCGATGGCTCGAGGCGGACATCCAACGGCCGGTCCCACGACGATTCCAATTCCCCTTGCCGATTCCCGGATTCCTGAGCTCCCTGGAATCCCGAAGACGTGTCGGCAACGGTCGACCAGCCATTGAATAGTAGTTATAGCCAATTGGCCATGAGTTTTCTGATTTCTCTGCGCCCTCTCATTTTGACATGCTGTTTTCAAATTTCTATGACCTCGCTAGTAAGAGCCCAGAAAGATCGGACTGTTTCAAATCATGCCGGATGGCTTACGGAATTTCAAATTCGCTCAACTTCTTCATTTAGTTTTCGACGAGATACTCACTGTGCTTTTTTTTTGTTTTTTGTTTTTCTCTCTCCTTTCTTGACCCAACTCACCGGTATTTTTCTATGTTTTCAAATTGCCACATTCCAACTTTTGCCTTGAAAAACGAAAAAAAAAAAGAATTAAACCTTGCCATTTTCTGTATTTCACAAACCGTGTAACTTATGGGTTCCTCTCGTTTCGAACAAATTACTTGCCTTCTTTTTCCCCCTCTTACCTTTAGAAAAACCTTTATTAGATTGTTCTATAACTTCAGATTTATTTTTTGTCAAGTTTGTCGAAAATGTTTCGTTTCGAAAAGCTACCGGATGCGGGTTCTACACACACTCTTTCTGTGTAGACGTTCACAAGTTTCTCTTCTACCAACGGCTCAATTCTCTTTTCCTCTGTTCTTGATTCTTTGTAGTATGTTGACATTAGAAATCCCTCTTCAAACTGTTAAATATTTCTTTGAACTGCTTGATAAATTCATTGTTTTTTTTCAGAATTAAGAGATTTGCTGTTTCGGAAAAAAACGTGGAATTAATCAAAGACAGTGGGAATAAGCCAAAACAGTACATGAATAATTAACTGGTATAAGTGTGCAGCTCGATTCGTTCATAACTTATATCAATAGAAAGCTGGTGACGAGACGAATCGATTGAAGATGTGAAAATACGGCATTTTTAGACTTACAAGCTTCATAACTAAGTTCTATTTCAATTTACAGATATACTGATTATATCTATCGATTCGTCTGGTTATCCGCTTTTCAGTGGTACGGGACTCCAAAAGATTCTATCAAATCGAGAAAGCCCGAGAAAGCCCAAAGAAGGACCAAATTTGAAAAAAAATTTTAACTCTTTCTAGGGGTCTAAGAAATTTTCCGACTTTGAAGTTTGAACATCTGACGTCATTCCCTATCGATTGATGTAAAAATCTCGGAAACTTTGGTTTTCGGGAAAATCGAAAAAAGTGCAGTCTAACCCCTTACGTTTTTTTCGAGCTTCTGAGGTCATGGAAGCCGATCAGGACGAAACCTATATCAATCGATAGATCTCGACGAGAAAATAACCGGAGACCAGGTTTGACCTCCGTAGGTCAACTAGGAACTGAGTTAGAGGCGATCAAACTTAGAGATCGAGAATCTCAATTTCCGTCA